GAGGTGCCATTGGAGCGTCATGAAATCCGAGAGCAAAATGCACCTCCCACCGCCTAATCTCCACTCGAAACGAAACCCAAACTTACAATCAAACAATCGATCAACTATACTGCAAAAACATGTGTTTGCTCTGCTTGAAAATTTACTGACTTACTTGGTGTCCCCTTTTCATCCTTTTTCATCCGTCACCCGTCGCCTCTGCACGTGGCGTTGAGTCTTGGTAGCGAATCTTGGCGCCAGCCAGCAGACAAGCCCACAAGCTGCAAACGCGGCTTGTCCTCCAAGAAAAATCACGGAGGAAGCGAAGACGTTTTTGGATATAAGATGCTTCAATCAATTGGATGAGTGGTGAACTAGGATGACTCAGAATAAAACAAAAATGAATGGCTGATGATTCATTCTGTCATACACATACAGTAGCAACTTGCTTCGATCTGTGGTCAAGTGTGATGGGAAAATGTGCGTCACCGAGTTCATTCATGTTGACATGCAGCTACAACAAGAACTACAACTGGTAACATTCTCATCTACCAAAGCTTCAGGCGCACTGCACAAGGCACCCTGTCCACCACGATGCAGCAAGCGGAGCTCACACGTGCATGCAGCAAGCGGAGCTCATACGCGTAAAAATTAGACGACCAGTCGCAGTAACGTCACTCGGACTTGCAGAGGTTACTGGTAGAGCTACCAACTCCAGCCTTTAGAAGCAAGTCAACAACGGACCACCCTGCCTCCAAGAAAGAATTCTGCCATGTCCGCAACAGAAGACCTGCAAGTGTCTCAAATGCGTCTTTGTGGATGTACTACGTGGATCTAGGGTCTAGGGTCTGAAGAGAGTTCATCGTTTCTCTGCGTGATAGGCTGATAGGTCGATTGGTTTCTCTCGAGTCCTGTCCAACAATGGTCTTTGCGTTGTTTTGTCTGCGTTTCGCATCCACGTGTCCCACCGGAAGAAGCCATGGTCTCATCCCGGATGCTTCGTGTCATAGCGTGACTGATGGAATTGCCATGGTACTGCAAACCAGGGCCAGGAAGCAGAAATGACAATATCCTCAGCAGGACAGCAAGAGAAGTGTAACATGCCTAGACATATTATGAAAAATGCCAAACCGCTCTCAAGCTTCCAAACTTACATAACCTATAAATAGCACGTCCATCATGTAACGGGAACAAGTCATAGATTGTGTAAAGAGGTGTATGACAAACGCATGGACATTGAAGGTGCAGTGCATGCCCTAAAGGTCCTAGAGTAGAAAAGTGGATGCACAATCACCTACAGCTACACCAGGTGCAACCCCCTGACAACGGCATGCTCAATCACCCGAGCATAGATTAGATGTGTATTCTAAATATGTCTAAATAATTATCCTAGTAGTAAGGCCAGGAGCCCCTAGTAGCGTCCTTGCTCCTATTAGCGATGGCCTTTGCTCCCAGGAGCGTCCTTTGCTCCTAGTAGTACGGCCAGGAGCCCCTAGTAGCTTCTTGTTGTTCTGTCCGCAGGAGTCCCAGGAGCAATCTGATCAACTTATGTGATCAACTGCCTGACAAGGAATCAGCAAGGCAAGGCCAAGCGGAGAGAAAGCATGCCAGTCGGCCCAGTAGATCCTATACACGCAGGAGATGTCCATCTTAGTGTCTTAGTGTCGCTATCGAGTCCACGGCAAGTAGTTATTGTCAAATATATACTTACACAGTCTTATACATAACACCTGCAAAGAAAAAAGCTGCACCTATTCTATCATCCTATTCTGGATTGTTGCAAGGATCCGATTGTGAAGGCTCATGCTGGGTAGAGTCACCGCGGCTGCTGTTGCCCAGGAGTCCAGCACCAGCCAATGAGCACCCCCTGCGGCCGCAGGGGGTGAGATCGGCAAATGAACCAATAGGCTCGGGTCTGTGTTCCAAAAATGCTCCCCTTGTGCTTTCGAGCACACGAATGCCAACTGAAGCTATGTTGAAAGAACAGTTTGATTGCTGATGTGTAAACAATGATGAACATGACTGGGCAGTGGGTGCCTTCCATTAACTTTGCGAGAGCAACATCAGGTTTGCCGCGGTCCAAGAACCCGGTGTTCGAGCCACAGACCTAATCCATCAATCTGGCTGATCACCAGCAGTATGTCAGAAGCATCGTTTGAAGCTACTCTCTGCAAACCAACACACCTTAGGTGCCATAAATCTAGACAGACATGTGAACCAAGCAAACGCCTAAGCAGCCTAAGCAGCTATCTTTCTAAAACACTGCCAAACTGGGCAGCAAGACCACTGGCACTTCCTTGGTCTTGCCCAATTCGGTCAGAAACTGTTCGGCAGCCTGATTCAGGGCAAAGAGGGCAAAGTCCAAGGTCCGACAAGAAATCACCGCTCTGCGACTGCTCACAGATAGAAGAAAAGGCCTTTACATTGTATACATCGCAGTCAACTTGTCTTCAGTGTCTTCATAGTGAAGGTGTGCTGCAACTATGAAGATTCCATGACTATGTTGCATTCTCAATCCGATGTTTCTGCCCACCGCAATAGCTGTTCAGCTGTTTTGAGGAAGCAACTCCACCATATCAGCTCTTTAGTTCCAGGAATCTGTGCTATTTGAGGACCACTGGGGCGACAGGGGTAACAAGGTTGGCCAGCGTAGGAAATGTAGGGCTTTTGTGTGGGTCTTCATTTCAAGGACGACCCGTCTCTTGCCCCTCCGTGTTGTCTCTTGAGTCTCATGATCCAAAAGGAAGTCTATCTGAGTCTCGGCTTGCTGGTTCTCGACAATCGAATTGCTGAGATTGAATTTGCTTGAACTGATTGCATCTGATTCCAACTTGGCTGATTCTCACCAATCCACAATGAGCCTGACAAGGGTGGGTGCCAAACCATCGAGCATAGAAACTGGAGGAGCTAAAGCCGGCGGCTAAGGCCACAACCTGGGCACCAAGCAAAACGGCATCGAGCGATGGAAGCGGCAAAGTGCTTAGGATTCCAGGCTCAAAGACTTGTGTTGAGTGCAATATATTATGGCAGTACTTTAATGACTGTCCTAGTCTTTCGATGTATTGTGCTGTGGATGTTGTGTGGTGTGTCATCATCGAGGCTTCGACGATTCTGATCATGCGGACTTGTTCAGGGACCTCTATCTCCTTCAAACGTGAGGCATATTGCAAGATTTGGTGAAGCTACCTTGCTTGTTCTGCGTATCAAATCCAAGCGCCCGTTCTTAGTCCATGCAGTTCAGGCACATTCAGGCCAAAAGGGTCTTTCCCTGACTAAAGCCATAGTGAAGCCCTAGGCTCTAGACGCCAAGTCGCCACCAGCACCCCGCCACTTCATGAGTGGAGATCAGTTGATGGCCAAGCTTCAAATATATAATCAAACTCCAGTCCGTTTAAAATGTGTAGAGTTTGGAAATATGGCTTGTCACAAGAATCCAAGCAAGCCTGGTGACGATGAATCCTTTCCCCCTCCAAACCAATGATCATATACATACATATTTAGTTGTTTGATGTGCAGTAACACGTGGGTGGTGTTGCAAGTACCCCTCAGTCACAAAACACCAGGTGACTTGCACGTCGGGCTCGTGAAGCAAGTATGCGACGGCCAAGGCAGTCTTAGGCTTGAATCCAAAGGGTGAATAGAGCCTCCAATTGTTGAGACGTCTCAAAACGCTGAATAGCTCAGCTAAGTCTCGAGAGAATTCAAAATCCAATCTAGTCCAAAGCTATGCTTTGGCCAGCAACATCTTGAATCAAATACATGATCAGAAACGCTCATGAACGCCCCTTACCGTGGCCTGGACAAATCTGCAGAGACCACGAGGCGCAGTGGCTCCTATGCGTGGGGAGTTGCAGGAGCTGGATGACATCATCAAATCAGTGGAAAATCCCCAATATTACAGTATAGTAATATTCATGTGAGGAGCAAAAGCAGCTGCAATTCAAAAAAAGGCTGGATGATGCTGCAATGACTTGACCTAAATGACAACCCCACTTGACAATCCCGCCAGTGTCCTCATCGTAGCCCTGAGCAAGGACACATGCCCCAAGGAGCAAGCTCGGCTTCATTTGCTCGGCATTGCAATGTGGGTCCAAGCTGTCAATCTGAATGCTTGAGTTTGCAAAGAGGGTCATCTCTTTAAGGTTTTGTAGTGATTATCACACGACAGAAGTGAGGAATTTCCACAGACTGGCCAACGCTGTCTTGCCACTATCCAGAAAGCCAAACTGGCGAATCGGCGCCGAGATGTCACTGGCAAAGATGCTGCGGTGTTGGGATCGACGATGTCCGCAGGCTTGACACATGAGTGTGCCCTCCCAGCAACGAACCCAGAAGCACTCGCAATCACACCCCACGAAACCTGGTCCACCAAATGTTGTGCTTGCCATGAAATCTATACTTTAAGATCACTATGTTCCGGAAGTTCAACTTGTTTGCATTGTTGACGTGGACATTTCTTGAATGGCATCTTGATTCTGAAGCCGGAGCAGTGCAGGCAAGCATCAGCAAGAAACAACTTCAACATACTTCAACTAATTCACAGGGTGTTCGGGAAAAGGGCCATGAACTACTCAGCGGCGTCTTTAAAGCGCAAGCAGTGCATCACTCTGATCAAACAATGTGAGGAACATCGAAAAATTACTTTTCTTTGAGGGACCTGCGGGAGATTTCAGAATCTCACCTCTCTAGGCCTCTAGGCCTTCCAAACAGTCCTGGGACAAAGTACAAAGGAAACTAGTAACAAGTGCATCTCGACTAGTAGCTTCTAGCTGCTAGTAGTGATGCCCTTGTTACTTGTTTTCCTCAACAACGCCAGGGACTTCTGAACAGCTTTTGTGGGGACAGAACTTTAAAAACACTACATAGTCACTACAGGTATGACACGAGGTAGAGTCTCAGGTTTGCAACCAACGACTCCAAACAAAAGAAACCGAAACAACACAAACCACCGAGAGGTGGGGGATCACTGCTCGTCTTGTAACCTCTTCTCATCCCCCCACCAGCACGCTGGGCCTCCGAGCTGCAAGTGGTTTCGCGTCCGCGGAGCGGTGACCCTGGAGCGGTCTTCGCCTGTTCTCCGGTCTTCGTGTCCAAAATTTCGAAAGGTTCACAGCATGTAGCTATTACCGCGTTGGGTTCTACAGTACAGTAGACAGTTCTTCACATTTATGCAATGGTATTGGCGAGTTTCTTTTCACACAAACAACCGACTTGGAATTAGTAACTGCTACAGCCCTGCAGCTGTCGACCTTTTGCCATGGTTTACCTGACTTCAGCAGGTGCTCGCAACAGCGGATACTGAATTTGTCAGGCACGCTGCGCCATGGTCGGCCATGGTGCAAGGCAAAGCAAACACTGTACATACTGGATTGCTCCTACGCTTGCATTGCAAAGTGGCTCGAGTTCTTACAGCTTCTCCTTGCTGTACTTGCTCCAGCATAGCATCTTTCCGTGTCAGAGCAAGATTTCCAAAACCTCTGCATGCCATATAACGACAAATGGGCAACGACTCGAAAAGCTGAAGGTGCTCATGCCATCCGACCACTGAGAAAAAGGTCGCTAAACTTAAAACTTAAAACACAGCAGCTGCGGATTTCATCTCTGCAGGCTTGCTGTGTCATGCCTACCCAAAAAAGATATTGGATGTCCAAATTTTGCTCCCTTGACCCATCGCACTCGTCGCACTGTGGTCCGTGAAACCTCCAACTGCTGTCACAGTGCTTCGCTCCACGGGCTAAACGTGACGGGCTTCGCCTCGAAGATGTGACAAGCTGTGATGGTGCTGAAAGACCAAATGGGTGATGAAATGTGATCTGATGCTTCACTAAATCTTTAATATATATGATAATATAAATATACAATATACATGAAAAGAATATATAAATAGACTTGTAGTCTTTGCTATTGTGACCCGATAACCAAGTCCCTTGGTGGGTGAGCCGCTCGAGCCCGATTTGAGCCGAAGTGAGGGGGGCAACTCCAATGAGTTAATTTTGGTCAACGACCGGACGCATGGGAACCTTGTCATACACCTGCACGAACACAGCATCAAAGAAAAATACGGCCCAGCGTGTGGGAATGCCAAAGAGGATGTGGATCATTTGGAGATGCAGCCTGACCCTCACTTTCACGGGCTCTTTGCAAATAGTTGCAAGATGTTGCCAGAATAGGACTAGGGTCATTAAAGAAGCTAGGGATCTCCGAGTCAGAAGTTGAAAAGCAAAAACCTGCAAACGAGCTGCAGTCACTGATGCACCTTGGACGTTGGCGAACATGCTTCAATGATCTTCAATGCGCAGCCAGGAAGCTTACCGTACCGAAGCACATGAAAGCCGAAAAAAACAGCTCACGAATGCACACTAGGGCATGGCCTGCTTGTCACAAGCATCCTTGACTTAGGATCCTATTTCTGATACTTCTGCAGCCTCAACCTGCCTCAACCTTGAGCTTCTTGTGGTTCGGAAGCCAAGCCACATGTCCATGAACCGCAGGGTGTCTTTGCTTCGGCCGCATTCTGCCTCCACCGTGCTGTGGATCAGCTGCTGCGCGTGAGTCTTCCTCGGTCCATCCAGGCTTTTGCTCTTGCACATGGATAAAACTTGAGAGATTCAAAGGTGCACAGCAACCAGGTCCGGATCCACCAAAAAAAACATATCTGGATCATGAAGAAAAGGCTCGCCACATCATAAACCAGGTCCGCCTGGATCCACGCTTCCGTCTCAGCCTGGGCCTCGTTGCTTACTTACACAAGGCTTCCATCTCAGTGTGCACTCTCAGCAGCAGTATAACGGCAAACTGTTTCAATCCTGCTCGGAAAAGCTAGAGACTACAGAGCCGTGCTTCCTTTCACTGAAACCTGAAACCTGACATGTACTGTGTGTATGTCATTTGAGAACCAAAAATGTACAGTATGGTGTCGGGTTCAGGGCCTGCAGTGGCCTCATGATCACCAATAGCAAACAACATATGCAAAAATGAACAGGAACTTTGTTAAAGAAAGACATTGGTCTTGAATGACCATCTGCAAATGCACAAGTCTTGCACAACAGGGTCCAAAATGGTCATGGCCGCCTTGGACATGCCCTTCTTCAGACATCGCTGCCGTACCCGCGCCAAGTCCCAAAGTAACTTGGCAGCAAAAGCTCGCCAAGTCTCACAATATTTCCAACAAAAAGAAACAACATGGTCTTTTGTCATACCACAAACACCATGGCAATCCCTTCTGCTGCTTCTGGATGATCTTCGTGACTCCAAAAGAGCTTTGATGAACTGAATCTATCCATGAGACCTGCAGAAGCTGCTGATCACGGAGGTACTCCAACTTGGCAGGGCTGTGCAAGGCTCCAGAGAGCCAGGCCTCTCGAGATCAAACGTGCACATTATCTGTTTCCGTATCCCAACATTTGTGGTGCAGGCCTGATGTGTGGACGTTAGCCAGCACAACCACATAATTAGGTGACTTTGAGTGATTGGTGACTTGAGAGCCTGACTACACAGCTTCTACATCTGCGTCCTGAAATGTCCTGAAGGCCGTATTAGATGTGTATTCCGTTGTATTTCCCATCAACACATGTTGACGTGGCAATATAGATACAGGAACATTTTTGAATCTGGGTCCATGAAAGTCAAACGACAGCCAACGACGAATCCTGTCACAAGCTCAAACAGGCCTACCTCAAATGCAGTGAGGCCAGTGTGTCTCGCCCCTCCCTAGCCTTGATGTACCTACCAACATAGTATGGCTAAGAAATAGAGTGTACAATAATGCACAAAAAGCAGGAAGATACATTTCACCTTGCATCCTCAAAATGGGTCAAACAATTTTTGGGCCACAGCCAAGCCAAAAAGAGCGGAGCGGAAACCCGCCTTCAGCACACGCAAAAGCAGGCGTACGGTCGCAGCCTGAGAGATGCTGGCGAACGAGCAGAGGATCTTGTTTGGCTGTAAACAACAAAACAACATGTGTGCTTATCTTCAAGTCCGCCAAAAGGATTGGTTGCGGATTTATTTTTGTTTTTTTCGTTTCTTTTGGAGAATGTTTTATGGTTTTTCGGTTGTTTTCCATTGATTCTGTTTGCTTTTCCTTTTCCCTTTTCCTTTTCGTTTTTCCTTTTCTTTTTCCCTTTTCCTTGCTCCTTACGACGCTGGCCACCGCAGGCAGCACAGCTTTGCAAGCTGGCCACCTGCAGCAGCACTCTGCTCACCGCTTCCTTTCTTCCTGCCTTCTTTCCTTCCGTCTTTCTTGCTGCCTTCTTTCCTTCCTTCCTTCCTTCCTTGCTTGCTTGCTTAGCCAACAGAAGCCACCAAAGGCCAACAAAGAAGCAAAAGCCAAAAGCCATCAAAAGCCAAAAGCCACCAAAAGCCAAAAAAACACCAGAAACAACAAAAAACAAACAAAAATACCCTTCCAAAAGGATTACCCCAAAGGACGTTAAATCCGTGAGCAAAAGTGAAGAACCTCAGCCGCACATCTCTGCGAGATTCCGAAACTATAATGGCAAAAAATGCTAGTGTATCCAGTTGGCATCGAATGTGCTAGAAGCAATCTCTAGCACCATTCCCTCTAGCACTATGCGCTCCAAGGCGCCGCTGATTTGCTGTGGGCCTTCACCAGATCGCGAGTAAGCATTTGCTGTAAGATGCGACTGTCACCCTCCGCGAAGCGGCAACCTGGATGGGAGTCGTGTCACTAGAGGTGATGCTCAAAGCTAGGACACTTCTTGAGGCGGAGAATGAATCAAGACTGTACAAGAAAAACATTGATAAACGAGACCTGTGCACTCCGTAAGTGTGCAAACATGCTCATGTACAGAAACATGTGATGCCTCAGATGGCAATGGAATTGACCTTTATACAGTGTGTATGTATATATATATATATGTATAATAGTTTGTTTCTGTGGATGATCTACTTTCATGCATCCCAGTACAATGTCATTCTGTTTCGGTGACAAACTGAGAGCATGTCCTATAAAGATTCTGAAAGCAATGCAATTTGTTGGCCCGGCCAATTGTTCGACCACTGAACCGTCGACCCCCTCTTCTCTGTCGGCTGGCAGAGCAGGATGTCATTGTTTGAGCCGAAGGGGGAAGAAGCCATGAGGCTAAAGGATCCCACCTTAGCGATAGTTTCAACGTTTCACACCGCTTCACCCCGTTTCACCCCGTCACTGCAACTCTGGCAAGACCTTTCCACCTCGTTGTCCTGTATCTCTGTGTGTGATCCCTTCCACCTGCGAAAATCACAGGCCCCCTCCTCAAAAAAATGCCCGCGTCGTTGTTTAAAAGGAGGATAGAGCCCAAAAGTGGATTCCAAGAGCTTCAAAGCCGAAAAGGTGCCTGGGACATGATTACAAAATAAAGATTGTTTTTGAAGTCTCTATCAAATTATCCCAACAAGAGACCCCAAACAGTGTGTTTGAGGTCTAGAGGTGTAGCAGCAGAAAGTCTAGAGATCTAGGGGCCCGCAAATTCAAGTCCTACTGGAGCTCTCTGACTCAGGGGATTTGTCCTTGAAATCTGCCCATCAGAGTCCTGTATTTCCTGGCGATCTCATTCACATGGCCCGGCGCTACAGGTGGTTGGCGTCATGTGGTTGCTGCCAGTATCCCCTGCGCCACTCCTTGTCTTGTACAGAATTGTTATATCTTGTATGCGCTCGAAGACTAGTGTCACGGAGAGTTTAACCTCTTGCTCACTTGATGTCACTTGTGCAAAAGCGTGTTTGCTAGGGGTGCGCAAGTGCCTCTCGCACTGTTGTGGACAATCCCTTTGCCACATAGCAGGAGTGGCTTGCAATGCCTAGCAAATATCAGTTGCGTTGTTGCGCGTGAACCTTCTTTTGTGCTCCGTAGGAAAATGCTTCGCAACGGAGACAGAGAGCACGCCACGTGAGCCAAGCTAAGCTCTGCAGGGACAGGAGCCGCGCGAACCCTGGAGCGACTGCATGACTGTGCATGAATCCTGCCCGCGGCTCCGCGGCTGTGCTGCATGCCGCGTCTGTCTACCACGGCGCAGCAACACGTGATACAAAAGAATTGTATACAGAAGTGCAAGTGGCTCAGGGAGCTG